TACAGAATATAGCAGAAGTATTGGAGAGTAGGTGGAGCGGCAGTCATTGAATCTCACTGTTGGGCCCTGGCCCCTTGTGAATTGCATGCCCCAGGGCAACTGTCCCCTTTCCCAACCTCTACCTCCTGCCCCATCAGTGGGCCCTGGCCTAGGTTGCTGATTGCTGGTTTATAGAGTGTCCAGCATAGTGTGGCTCCAGTTTTGGTTGGTATCTAGGTGCTAATGTAGTACCACTAAGAAGTAATAATGTTCCCTCTTTGGCCAAAGCACTTGTTTCTGTTCAGCTATATTGATGATGGAGTCAGGTATTTCTTTGATTCCATCTTGTTTATTTACCAAGAGCATACATAAAATCCTGTTTTCCTGAATGAAGTGCTTCTCTGGCTAGTTGATAGGCTTCCTTGCAGCCTCTGTGTGCTTCTCCTCTGTTTGTACTGCCTCTCTGTGTCCTCCTCACACTCTGCAATCAAATCAGTATCCCAACCCTGTGTTTGGGGCTCAGTAGCCTAGTTCTTGGGCAGTGGTTTCTTTTGTTTTAACCATCACTAAGCAAAGGAGAATTTACTTTCCCTCTTAATGTGGCAGAGTTCCTGACAGAATTGAGACCATTAGTGTTCCCTGTTAGAGGTAATAACTACTTCCTGGGCTGAATAAACAATACCTTTGAGTGTGTCAGCCCCAGGATATGACTGTAATCAAGGAACAGGAAGCTCTTTTGAGTTGTTTTAAAATACTGATATTTTAAAATGTAATATTTAAATTGAACGTGAAGGAAGAAAATCTAATAAGAGGAATCATCCTCTCCAAACTAATTGAACGCCCTGTAGGCCCCTGCTTTCTCTCCCACTGCCATAACAGGGCTTGTCTGTCTAGAATAATAGCAATATATCTTGTTTTTAAAAACAAAGAGAAGGGAGAGACCTCTTGCTGTGTAAACCATGTAAACATAAATGTAAGCAGTATTCTGGGAACTAGAGCCCTGCTGAATGGGACAGGAAAGAACAGAAGAGTTGTAAGTCATGGAAAAGGGATTCATTTTTTAAAAAGTGTTGACAGCCCCATTTTCTTTGCCCCTTCCCCACTATATTCAGGCCTGTACGCAGGAATTTCTATGTGGAGGTGTGTGCTTTTTTTGTAAATGGGGACTGCAAGAGTGCAAGTTCACCACCCCCAGCTAAGGTCCCCCAAGTAAGTATGCTCTGGCCGGGGGGAATCAGGAACAGCATGTTGCCTGAGCCTCCCTCCCCCAAGCTTCAGCCAGGATGGGGAGGGAAATCAGCCCCAGCTTTCCTCTGGCCAGCTGGAACATGGGGGAGGGAGACTTAGGTAGTATACCGCTCCTTTGTCTGGCTGGTTGGAGCATGCTTACTTGGGGGACATTGGTGGGGGACGAGGTTGTATGCACATACCCTTTACACCCCCCTGTGTACAGGCCTGATTCATCAGTTCAAATTGCTAATTGGAAATCTGCCTGTATTTGAAGCCACATTCGGAAGCTGTTCTCCAGCTTTAACCCTGTTGTGCTCAGGAGAACCATGTCTACCCCCATGCTTATAGCTGAGAGGCTTCCATAAGCCTTGGTAAGAAGGGGAAGTATGACATGTTGTTACCTCACAGAAACAAGTTGGCTGAGGTACTGTCTTGTATAAATTGTATTGGACCAATCTGACCTGGTGAGAGAGGGACAAGTTTTCAAGTTGCACAGCAGTCTTCTTCAGGTTTGGGAAATACACTCCCAATCAGTGTCACTGTCAAATAGAAGATGGAATAGATGGTTTAGCATAAATATTTAACACGTTTTTCAAAGGACCATTTAAGGTGCCCTATTAGCCGCGCCCCCTGCCTCCTGTTAGCCACAGCC